CATAATGCTGTCTTAGACAGTCCTTTTCTATACAAGTATAATGGAGTCCAATACATTCTAAACATTATTTTTTGTTGTATAAGTCATAGTTTGAGGTCCATTGACACTCTAGCTATAGAAGTTAAGATACTCTCCCATTGTCTAGGTACTATAGAAACCTCTAATTCTTCAGTCCACTCATCTGTTAACATCTGCATTTCAAATTTCTTAATTGATAATAAATATCTGTGAAAGCTAATAGTAGGTTTTTTAGTTTTAAAGGGTTTAACAAGTTACAGTATCTCAGCTGTCTCAGCAGCTGAAAATGCTGCCAATCCAAACAATGTTGTTAGCAAATGCTGTAGCTGTAAATATTGCCATTGGGTTACATCTAGTAGATAATATTTATCTCTTAACACAACATATATTAAAAATTCATCATCATCTATCAATTGATCCAAAGTCAGTATTCCCACTTCCATCCAATTTTTCCATATCGCCATCTTTTTCCCAATTTTTAATGTTGGGTTTCCCCATAAAATCAATTTAGCAAAAAAAAGGATCAGATCTGTTTTTATTAGACATTACATCTCATAACTTTCTAACTGACATAATTGTTTCCAGAGATACTAAAGTTCTATTGTATTCAGATCCTAATATTGTCCACCCAACCAAAAGTGCTATATATGTATAAATATATAAAATCTTACTTCTGGTAAGAGGGAGGAGGACAACAGCCACTTGATTGCACCTCCCACCCCCAGAGCTGTGTTTGGATTATTAACATCTTTGGCACCTATTTGATTTTTATTTTTTATATTACATTTATTTTTATTATTGGATTGGACTGGACTGGACTGGGCCTCGGATAGGCTCTTCGATCTCTTGGCTTTTGTCAGCTGTTTGGGGCCAATACCAGCAACCTTTTTTTGCTGCCACAACTGCTGCATTGCCACACCCATGCCAGTGCCTGTGCCTTGCTGTGCTGCTGGGTAGCTTCAGTGAGTCAGCCAGAGTAGGCACATTTTCGGGGCGTGCTACGAGGTCTGGAGGCTGCAGTTGGCTGGAGCAGATGCTGCTATGTTTTTAGGGCACGCAATGAGGCTTGGAGACGAGTCGGCCAGAGTAGACACTATTACACGTTTCAGAGTGCGTTACAATGCTAGGAGGCTGGGATTGTAATTTAACTATATTGGGGCGTTTCACAGTGGACAGAGCTGGCTGGAGCCGGCTGGAGGAAAAGCCAGCGGACTGGTCATTGGGGCAGGCTGGAGGTCGGGCCATGCCCATGGGCCAATGTGTTTGTACAGACTCTATGACTCCATGGGACTTTTCATCTGGAGAAGCCAGCCAGGACTTTGGGGTGTTGGAGAATTGAGAATTGGCAGTGGCTGCGTGGTGGGGATAGCAGAGTGGCAGTCTGCTGTGGACCCTTTCTCCCCCTGCCCCCGCAGGGCCTTTTTCTCTGATAGTTCCAAAGAAAAGGAGAGGAGTATCTTTCTCCTGACTTTGCCTGTCAGCCAAGTGCTTAGTTTGTATGTTTCCCCTCTCAGGATGAGAGGGGAGCCTGAGAAGGGTGAGAGCCTGAGAAGGGAGTTGACTTGGTGGGGTGGATGAGAAGGGTACTGTTACCAGTGGATGAGAGGGCTGGGGGAGGGGCTTAGGTGTTAGATTGGATGCTTCTGTGTATGTGTGTGCTTGTTTCCTGAGTGGGCGGAGGCAGGCACCAGATGCCTGAAGGTGTTGAGAGCCAGTGGAGCTGAAGTACCTTAGGTGCTTGGTTTCCCCCTCCCGGGGGATTGATGCAGTTGATTGTTACAGGAGCCCCCAGGCCTTTGGAATTGAGGGGCCTGAAGGAAAAGATGATGTAGCCACTGGGGGGACCTGTGCAGGCCATATTATTATGGTGGTGGCAGGCATGGGGAGATATGGTGGGAGATGAGGAGCGGGCTGTCCCTGGGGAACGCAGGATAGATGTTTTATACCTGTTTCATGTTCCAGCTCCTTGGTCTCAACTCCAATACCTGGACAGCAGACCGTCAGAGGTCCTGGCTTCTGGCTGTTGCTTTTAAATGCCAGGTTGGTCTGTAATAAGGCCTCCCTCATCTGCGATTTGATCGTGGATGAAAGGGCCGACCTGGTATGTGTTACTGAAACCTGGCTCGGCCCAGAAGCGGGGGTGCCGCTCTCGGAGGTGTGCCCAGCTGGGTTTCAAGTGTGGCATCAGCCAAGAACTCGGGGCAAGGGTGGTGGTATGGCGATTGTCATCCGAGAATCGCTTACAGCTTTCAGGAGCACTGTTCTACAGGTCACTGGATGGGAGACCCTGTTCATTAAGTTGGGCTCTAGGGATCAGTTGGGACTGCTGCTCTTGTACCATCCTCCCTAAGCAACCTCTCTGCCTGAGCTCCTGTTACAGAGGCTCGCAGGTTCAGCTTATGGTCATTCACTCACATACTCACAGCCTGTTGAGGCATGCAGATCTTGTAAGTCCTCCTTGCTTTCTACCTGGGTTTTCCAGATAGGTGCAGCTGGAACAGATGAGACACACAGCTCTGGGTAACAGGTGGGAAGTAATTAGGGACCCACACAAATGGCTTTCAGCGGAACACTGAGACACAACAGGTTCTTTGGAATACACGGAGACCCAGTGAATTTAAAGTAATAGCAAAACTTTACCGGTTACAATGTACATTTCTCACATGCACACACACACTCATCCACACTTACCCACATCCTTTTCAACTGCCAGGGACTAGCTAGAGGGATGGAAGCTGCCAAGTCACATGCTCTTTCTCACATGCACACACACACTCATCCACACTTACCCACATCCTTTTCAACTGCCAGGGACTAGCTAGAGGGATGGAAGCTGCCAAGTCACATGCTCTTTCTCACATGCACACACACACTCATCCACACTTACCCACATCCTTTTCAACTGCCAGGGACTAGCTAGAGGGATGGAAGCTGCCAAGTCACATGCTCTTTCTCACATGCACACACACACTCATCCACACTTACCCACATCCTTTTCAACTGCCAGGGACTAGCTAGAGGGATGGAAGCTGCCAAGTCACATGCTCTTTCTCACATGCACACACACACTCATCCACACTTACCCACATCCTTTTCAACTGCCAGGGACTAGCTAGAGGGATGGAAGCTGCCAAGTCACATGCTCTTTCTCACATGCACACACACACTCATCCACACTTACCCACATCCTTTTCAACTGCCAGGGACTAGCTAGAGGGATGGAAGCTGCCAAGTCACATGCTCTTTCTCACATGCACACACACACTCATCCACACTTACCCACATCCTTTTCAACTGCCAGGGACTAGTTAGAGGGATGGAAGCTGCCAAGTCTGGATCCAAAGACGACTCAGGAGTGGGCGGGGTTCTGGAACCCTTTTATCCCCAAAAGTCCTTGCTTTGTCAATTCACAAGACTGGCAGCTACTCTTGCCTTGTTAATTTATAAGTCTGGTAGCTGTTGATGGGATTGGGGGAGGTTTCCATGTGCTCAGGCCCAACTTCCTTTGTCTGGTTCAGGTGACATTTTTTTCTTTGTTTCCTTCTTATCTACCTCCTTAAAGGATCTTGTCAAGTCCACAAAGTCCAAACCCCGATTCAGAAGAATTTGATAAATGCTCCTTTATTGGTTGGTACATGCAGCTTGAAGCAAAGCATTGCTAAAACTAAAGCCCACGTAAATTTCCCTCTACTTTTCCCTCCCCCCGCCCTCTAATTTGGCGCCTGATTTCTTTCTCACAAGATTGTGGCCTTGTAAATTCCTCCCCTTGATATCACAGTCCTTCCTGGCCTTCAGGCTACCACCGGTTTTGTCTGCCTTCAAGTCTTGCTGCAAATTCCCATATCAATGTAAGCACCTCTCCATCTCAAAGCAATACCCCAAGCACACCTAGTAACTACTGTTTCCCCCCCTTGTTACAAATGGCAGAATCAAATCAAGCAAACTCCTATTGACTAAACAAGCAAACTCCTATTGACTACTATAGCTATTAAATCAGTCTTC